CCTCCATCCCACAACTGGCAACCATGAAAGAATTATTCTTTTAGTATGAAAATCTTATGCTTTTATCATAATGGTATTATGAAATATTTGTCCTTTTGTACCTCACTCAGCCTTATGTCCTCAAGTTTCATCCATGTATAAGGTGTTTTGCAGCTTCATCATAATTCTTCATGGTTATATAGTATTCCATTGTGTGTATGTACCAATGTTTGCTTATTCATGCTTCCATTGATGGGCACTTAGACTGTCTCCACCTTTTTGCTTTTGTGAATAGTACTGCAGTAAACATTTATGTGTATATATCTATTACATCTGGCTAATATTTCTTATGGATATATACCAAGTAGAAGAATTATTGGATCATAAGGCATTTGCATTTTCAATTTTCTGAGGTGGTGTCATAAAGTTTTCCAGTGTGTTTGAACCATTTTACAGTTCCACCAGCAGTATAGGAGGGTCCCAGTTTCTCAACACCCTCACCAGCATTTGTTGTCCTCTGCCTTTTTGAACTTCATTGTTACTGCTGGTATGAGATAATATCTCATTTTTGTTTTTATTTGCATCACTCTAACGGCTAGTGTGGCACTGTGGGTTAATGTACTAGCCTGCAAAGTAAGTTTGAACCACAAGTTTGGCAATTCAAGCTTACCAGCTGCTCCTCAGAAACCCTTCACAGGGTTGCTTTGTGTCGGACCCAACTTGATGGCACTTTGATAACAACAACAATGGCTAATGGTCATGAACATTTCTTTATATGTTTGTTGGTTGCTTGAATGTCTTCCTTGGTGTTCATGGCAAGTAAAATTTTGCTGAAGATAATCTTAAAATGGTTTCAGCAGTGCATTGTCAGGGAGCAATCAGAATTTCAAGCTGGATTCAGAGATAACATGGTATGATGAGGGATATCACTGCTGACATCAAATGGATCTTGGCTGAGAACAGAAAAGAAAGATGTTTACTTGTGTTTTATTGACTATGCACACACATTCAACTATTGTATCATCACAAATTATGGGAAGCATTGAGAAAAATGGGAATTCCAGATACTCCAATGTGCTCATGTTGTTAAGTGCCATTGAATCAGTTCTGACTCATAGCAACCCTGTATAGGGTTTCTGAGGAGCAGTTGGTGGGTTTGAACTACCAACCTTGTGATTGACAATACAGTGCTAATTCCTATGCCACCTATAAGTAATCCAAGAGGCAGTGGTTATAACTGAACAAGGGGCTACTGAGTGATTTAAAAATCAGGAAAGATGAGTGCTAGGGTTGATTCTTTTCATCATACTTATTAGATCTATATGCTGAGCAAATAATCCAAGAAGATATATTAAATGAAGAACAATGTGGCATCAGGAATGGAAGAAGATTCATCAGTAACCTGTGATATACAGATGATCTATCATTGCTTTTTGAAAGTAAAGAGGACTTGAAGTACTTACTGTTGGAGACCACAGACCACAGTCATCAATGTGGAATGTATCTCAATATAAAGAAAATGAAAATCTTCATAACTGGACCAATAAATAATATCATGATAAACAAAGACAAGTTTAAAGCTGTCAAAGAATTCATATTACTTGGATCCACAATCAGCCCTCATAGAAGCAACAGTCAATAAATCAAAAGACATAATGCAATAGGAAAATCTGCTCCAAAATATCCCTTTAAAGTATTAAAAAGCAAAGACATCACATTTAGGAATAAGATACACCTAACCCAGGGAATGGTATTGTCTGTCACCTCATATGTAAGTCAACCACTCATCTACCAATTTGTTACACTGTGGTAGCTTGTGTGTTGCTGTGATACAGGAAGCTTTACCACTAATGTTTTAAATACCTTCAGGGTCAACCACAGTTGACAAGTTTCAGTGGCTCTTACAGATTAAAATAGACTATGAAGAAGGAGAAACTGACCAGTTATGACTGTGAAATCACCAAAAACCTTATGAACAGAAGCAAAATATTGTTTCATATAGTGTCAGATGATAAGCCCCTCCGGTTGGGAGGCACTCAAAATATGACTGGGATGAGCTGCCTCTCAAAGTAGAGTTAACCTAAAGGGAATGAATGCAGCAAAGCTTTTGGACATTCATTTGCTGTTAGGGCACAAGTCAAAATAAGAAGAAAAAGTTATAAAAATTAATAAATAATTGGAATGTGGAAAGTACAAGATATGATTAGAAAAATTGGAAGTCATCAGAAATGAAATAAACAGGTGTCGGATTTTTTAATCGGACAATCATGTGGTTGATGTACTTCCTATACTTGAAGTACTTGGTGATGAAGATCAAATACCACAGCCTTCAGTGTGAATTGTAACAAAATGGAAAGACAAGGAAAATTCTCACAAGTGGAACAAAAAATGCTGTTGTTGTTGTTGGTAGGTGCCATCAAGTCAATACCAACTCATAACGACCCAATGTACAACAGAATGAAGCACTGCCCAGTTCTGGGCCAACCTCACAATTGTTGCCACACTTGAGCACGCTGATGCTGCCACTTTCCCAATCCATCTCATTGGGGGTTTTCCTCTTTTTCTCTGACCGTCCACCTTACCAAACATGATATCCCTCTCCAGCGACTGGTACCTCTTGACAACGTGTCTGAAGTATGAGAGATGAAGTCTGGTTGTACTGGCCTCCAAGGATCAGTCTGGCTGCATTTCTTCCAACACAGATGTTTGTTCTTTTGGCAGCCCCTAGCACCTTCAGTATTCTCCTCCAACACCATAACTCAAAAACATCAAATCTTCTATAGTCTTCCTTATTCACTGCAGCAGATTTGCCAGTGCAATACATAGTTTGATTTCTTGACTGCTGCTTCCAGGAGTGTTGATAGTTGATCCAAGAAGAATGAA